TTTGGACTCTTCATAGGGTGACGTGTGTCACGCTCTTATTGGTCCTCGTGGCTGGGGTAAAAATACCCAAATCAACTACTACTGCATAAAGTTTTATTGAAACAGGTAGGCGTCTTGCTCGAACTCTCAGATTATCAAGGAACAACTTTGCTTGTGTTTACCTAGAAGGTAAGCCTACTCGTTCACGCTTTGTGGATTCGTCTCCAACAATCTATGGTACGAACCTGCCGAATGTGCCGCTTACGGAATACGATCTGCCAAACACCCCTGTAACTACAATTTCACCAATTGGGACGCTCAATGTTGACAGCCTCTTTAATTCAAGCCATTCTAGTTGGTCTGGAAAAAGGAGGAAACTAGATGAAGCTACTCTTGTCAAATTTGAAAACGGGGCGGCAGTGAGAAGGTGCTTCAATGATCTGAATTGGGTAGGGAAAAGAAAATTGAAACCGCTGAATCGATGGTCGGAAAAGGGAGCGTTTAATATTTGGCAATGAGATAAGCATGGTACTCTAAAACTCAAATCTAAAGCTATGTCGGATGTTGACATGGCATGAACTTGAAATGTGAAACCGCTTGTTCTTGAGTTCAAGGGGAAGAACAAGAGACCTTCTGCTACCTCTTCTTCGTCTTCTTCTGGTCCGAGCAAAAGGCAGAAGTGTGTGGAAGTCACTTCTATAGGAGGTAGGAAGAGGACGACGACATGGATGTTGATTTTCAGAAAGTAGTACAACAATCTTTTGTGGGACATCTTGGTAAGGCGGCCGCATCGTTCTAGCCCCCGAGTCCAATATGAAGATAATCTGCTGGAATTCTAGGGGTTTAAATGATCCACACACCCCTAAAATTCCTTATCTTGTGTAGTTGTGTGGTTTATTAAAACTAAACATCCTTCTCTTTTGTGTTTGTGTGAAAAAAAAATGGTTGTAACTGATGTTAACCCTCTTTTGGACTGTCTTTCCCCTATGTTTTCTTTTGACATTGATGCAGTAGGTACTAGGGGCGGCTTGGCTTTATTTTCTTGGTGTAATGCTAAAATTACTCCAATCTTTTGCTCTTAAAATATTATGCTATGTAATATTCCTGAAATTAGTGGAATATCATGTATGTAGTATTTGTGTGTGGTGCTCCGGCTATTGAGGACCAGGTTTCGGTTTGGAATGATTTAATTGACATTATTTGCACTTATTCTAAATGTCTTTTACTTGGTGATTTTAACCAAATTGAATATTTGGCGGATAAACTTGCAGGAAGCTAGACTATTAGAGGGGCGGATACTTTCATTGATTGGCGTTTAAATAATGATGTACGTGAAATTCCCTTTTTAGGTCCAAGATATACTTGGACTAACAAAAGACTTGGGAACGGTTTGATTTTGTAAAGATTATATCGTGGTTATGTAACCTCAAATTGGTTTGATGACTTTGGTGGTGGGAAAATAATACACAAACCCATCATGGTGTCGGATCATGCGCCTATCACATTTGATCTAAACCCCTCTCCGTTTTCAATAAACCGGCCTTACCAAGTGGAAGTTTGGTGCTTGAACTTTCCGGAGGTCGCTCATTTAATCAAAATGGAATGGGGTAAATACATTTCTGGCTCGAATTTTTTTGTTCTTGTGAGAAGATTACGTATCGTGAAACATCGTCTTCAAAAATGATGTCTTGACAATAGACAGGTTTTAGGTATTAACTGGCAAGATGTGAATAAGAAGCTACTCTATACTAGTTCCAACATCTCGTGCTTGAGTGGTGGTAACCAGTTAGTACAACAACTCAATGTTATTATTCCAGAATGTCAGCTACAATATGGTTATTGGAAACAACGTCTCAAAGCGAAATGGCTAAAAGAAGAGGATGCTCCCACTAAACGACTTTTCAACAAGGTTAAACAAAAAAAGAAGAGGAAAGAAATCCTAACTTTATGTAATGACAGTGGGGAATGGGTGGAAGGACAGGAGAAAATTGCAGACTTATTTTTCAAGAATGCTTTCCAGCCTAAGAATGATTCGAGCCATAAGGAAAATATAGATCTTATTGCAGGAGCTTATCCATTTCATACATATGAAAAAACATTCGACCCATCTTGCAGCTATCAAGGTCGATATGTCGAAAGCTTATGATCGTGTAGATTGGGTTTTCTTATTTAAAATCCTAAAAGCATATGGCTTCTCCTCACGTTAGATTCAGTGGATTTCTCAATGTGTTTCAATCGTCACCTTTAAGGTCATTGTGAATGGTAAGACAACTGAAGGCTTTAAACCGTATTATGGTCTCCGCACAGGTGACCCTCTATCCCCGTATTTATTCCTCTTTTGTATGGATGATTTGTCAAGAATGTTACTTTTAGCCGAAGAAATTAACCTTTTTAGTGGCATTAAAATTGCCCGTAGAGCACCAAAAATTTCACATTTATTTTTTGCGGATGATGCCATTTTTTCTTCAAAATTGATCACTCTTCTTGCACAAACATTCGGGATATTTTAACAAGATTTGGGACAGTTTCAGGACAAAAAATTAATTTTCAAAAATCATACATAAAATTTAGTCCTTCTTTTCCTACTGATCTTATTACTGAATATAAGGAAATTCTCAAGATTCCTAGTGTTCAAGCTATGGGAACACATTTTGAAAACCCAATTAATATTTCGGGGAAAAAATCGGAAAAACTTTAACTATTTGGTGGAAAAGGTAAAAACAAAAATCCTGTCATGGTCTGCATGTAGGTTGTCACAATAAGCAAAATTGGTGCTTATAAACTCAGTTCTAATGGGTATCTCCTTCACATGTTATGAAGTCTCTTAAGTTGCCCATAGCAACAACAAACAAATTAGATTCGATCATATCCAGGTTTTGGCGGGCTACAAATGGAGAAAAGGGTATTCATTGGACGAAAAGACAGATTATTCAGTTACCAAAAGGAATGGCGGGTTAGGAATTAGGGCTACAAGTATGATGAATGATACCCTTTTATTCAAAAAGTTCTTAGAATGCACAAGAATCCCCAACTTCAGGCAACTAAGGGTTTTAATACAAAAATAAATTGTGTCTTGTGTCATGGCATACCTAGAAATCAGGTGCTTGGGCCTATTTCTTATGCTCGCAGAGGTTTCCAGCAATTTGCCAATCGTTTCCTACCAGGTTTTGGTTGGAAGATTGGGAATGGTGATAATATTCCTGCTTGTAGCAACAAATGGGTTAATGGGAAAGTGCCAGTGGTCAAATTGAATCAGACTCTACATGAAAGTCTAAGATGGAAGGTCAAAGACTTTATTGACCCCAATTCTTGTTCATGGAAGGCTTCGTTTATTAGAGAGAAATTTGAGTGGAACAGCGCACAGGAAATTTTAGGGATGAAACTTCCAAAGATTAGGGCGGAGGACTTCATGTAGTAGGCTAATCATTCCTTAGGGAAGTTTACGATTAAAACTGGGTATGGTTTTTTATCACAAAAAGCAAAAAATCAAGAATCGGACCATGGCAAGGAAACCTTTGATTTCCTTAAAATCATTTGGAGACCATAGCAAGGAAACCTTTGATTTCTATGATGCCATTCCTACAAAAAAAGAACCTACAGTAGCGAGGTATGCAATTGAATGTTCTATGTGACTATTGTGGTATGGAAAATGAGAACTCACAACACATCTTTAAGTTCTGTGATTTGGCAAAATTTGCGTGGAGTAATGTCCACGTAAGTGATGGCCATACAACTAATGAATCCATCTCCATTTCACTTCAGGAATGGATTCAAACTTATATCCTGCTTTTCTATAGTCGGGATGGGATCCATAGTTCAGCAATATCCACTTTTATTGCAACCATAGAGGGCCTGTGGGTCACGAGAAACCAACTCTCTTTCGTGGAGATAGTGGAGGCCCTAGCACTTTGAATAGGAACATCGAGGAAGCGTTACAATGTCTACAGGAGTTCAACAAACCGGACTTACCTGCCTTATGAATGTTGTATATTCTAGACACAGAGATCCAAGAACCACCTGGTTTCTGCCAGGTTCATATTGGAAAGGAGAATTTAATCTTCTATCCAAGTATGGGTCAACCGGATTGTACACATCAGATTGATTGCTCATGGGAAAAAACAAGTGGTAAAAGTGGTTTTGGATGGGCTGCAAGGGTTAATGAAGGAGATTTCTTTGATGCGGGAGCAAGCTTTGGACTTGCAACTTCCGCTCTGCATGCGGAGGCCCAAACTTGTTTTGAGGCTTTAAAATTGTGTTCATTATGGGGTTTTCTAAGGTGCTTCTTTATTCAGACTCGATGAATTTGATCAAATTCTTACAAAAGGAGGACATAAATTCTTACGAAAGGAGGACATAAATGATATAAGCATTCTGTGGACTATACAGGAAATCAAAAAGTTGGGCCTGAATTTTCAATGCTGTAATGTCCTAAAAGTGGATAGAGATCAGGTATAATGGGCACATCGGTTAGCGAATCATAGTCGAACTAGTTTAATTAGCTTTACTTTTACAATATTTTATGTTATTTTGGATTTTTGGTGACTTGATATAGTATATGTCTGATAAATGAGAAGTTATTTTTTTTTTTTTTGTAAAGTACTCGTAGCTAGTAATATTTTTATTTTATATATGGAGTTAGCTAGAGTATATCTGTATATGGGAATAAGATTTGCTTCACTCTGGAACTGATTCATGGCAACTGTTTGTTTTTGTCCTAATCCCTTCCTTTCACAGAAATGACATATTTCTGCTCATTTTCTTATTAATTTCAAGGACAACAATCATTACAAATACGAGATTCAATATGTTTTTCTTTGACATGACTCAAAATGTTACAACAACTGACATAAGTTTCTTTCTCATTCCCAATTTTAGTCCTAGTCTTTCCCTTTTTTTCTACTGATTTTGATACCAAAATGTTTTTCACAATTGGAAATTCATCCATATTGTTCAACCCCTTAATAAAAAAAGGAAAATGTTTTTCAAAAAGTTTAAAAAATTCACAATTATATAGAGGTTTGTGGTCCTGGCGAGGCTCGAACTCGCGACCTTCGGCTCATTAGACCAACTTCTAACCAACTGAGCTACAGGACCAGAATATTAATTCAAGTGCAAAAAAAAATATATTTAAATGATACTTATATATATTTCACTTATTAAATGACACTTATTCATTATTCATTAAATAACATCATACGTTTACAATTGATTGATGAAACAACTTCATAAATCGACCCCCACTACCAAAGATAAACAAACATGTAAATAATGTAGCATAATTAAAATAAAAGTACAGACACATCACATGCACTAAATTTTACACTAGCTAATTACCTCCACATACATATAATCACTATTTAATTGATTGAAATTACTAATAGTTACATATTTTGTTGACCATGAACATGGAAACTACAACCATTTGAAAGTTGTATTGTACGGTAGTTAGTAGCGGCCGCCATGTTGATCTCTTGAGGGTTATGAAAACCGCCATTGAAACCACCTTCGATTTCACCTACACTACAACCACCACCATCACCTTCATAATTTCCAATGTTGTTATTACAATCATACATTAGTGCGTAACAATATTGCTCATAATAGTATGCATCATTGTTCATAGTAGTACTACTAGTAGTATTAATAATAAATTTATGATCATAATGATCTTGGTTATAAATATCATTACTATTATTATTATTATTAGTAACGTTGTTGTTGTTGTTGTTGTTAATGAGGGCTTCATGCAACCAAATTTGAGTTTTCAAGAACTTGACATATTGAATGGCTTGTTCCAACATGGAGACAGTGTCAAGCTTAGCACCACCAGGGATTAAACTCTGTAGCATCTTGAACCGGTCGCTTATTCTATGCCTTCTTTCTCTCGCCGCTACGCTTTGTGGGTCGGTCGATAGCCTCACCCCGCCGGCCGCCTTGTTGTTGTTGTTGCCCTTGTTGTTCTTAGCATTTCTAGAATTATTAGTAGCCCTTCTTGTACAAGAAGAGGGTATCAATATTGGGGTTGATGAAGAGGAAGAATTGTTATTAGGGTTGTAAAAAGTACTGTAGTCCATAGACAGGGAGGGTGAGGGTAAACTATATGTGTTTCTCTAATTTTATTTTTGCAGTTTTTAGTTAAATTGAAAGTTACATTTCATGTGGTATATATAGGCAATATAGCTGATAGGAGGAATTAAGGTAATCCGTACAAATTAGGCCATGTTCTTTTAAGTTGAACTGAACTAAATTGAAAATAAGTCCAAAAGAAAAGGGTCTTACTCTCTTCATTCTTAAGTGAAGATCACAACACTTGTATTGTTTGTGGCAATCTTATGAATATTTGTACGTAGTACTAGGGGCGAGATTATGAATCCCACTTATTTGGAATGAAAATCAAACCTATCTCACATGGGTGGAAGGAGGGCCTTCAACACGTACGGATTCTCAAAATAATGCTAAAGTGGTGTTAACAATTTAATAAGGTATTTCAATTGTTTGTAGGAGATATAAACAATTCTTACTTATTATAAGTAGAATAAATGAGTCAAAGAACAGAAGAAGTATACATATTCTAATTTAATAATAATCTAAGAGAAGTGAATAAAAAATAAATAATGAGGTTTAGATGATTTAAAGTGGATTTAACAACAAGTGGATTTTGGTTAGTTATAGGTGTGTAAAAAAAAAAAAAAAAAAAAAAAAACTAGTGGGTTTCGTGATTAATGGTGAGTTAAAACAAATACTCCCTCCACCCACGATTATCAGCATCAAACGTCCTTTTTGCGGACTCCTAGGCAAAACTTTTAGTAGAGTTTAATTAAGTTTAGGTGGGTTTAATTAAGTGGAAAAAAGGAGGGAAAGAAGTGGTCCCTTATTTTTTTGTTTTTGGGTGGGTTAAAGTGAGTGAGAAAAAGGTGGAAAATTGAGGGCCCCCTTTTATGAGTGGGAAAAAGGTGGAAAAGTGAGTGTAATTAAAAGATGTTAAACAAAGTTAAAAAATAAAAGTAAGGGTAAGGTGTCTTTTTTTACTCTTTAAAATTTACTAAAAGAGGAAAGAAAAAAAATTTGTTGCACATAATAGAGAGCACCCATATATGACAAATTTTGCAGATAATTGTGAACGGAGGGGATAACATAGTGATTTAGTGAAGTTTAATTACAAAATGGAAAGTAGAAGAATTTGAATGATTAAAGTTCATAATCATCGAGTAATATCTTGTACACAAATCAATAAACACACGGGTTGACTGGTTGAGTATAAGAAGTTTTTTTTTTTTTTTTTACAAGCGTTCAACTTAAATGCATGTATTATCAACAAACCCACAACATCTCATTTGAAAAATAAATGAATTTCCAACTAATTTATGTACATTTATTGTTTATTTTATCACACCAACATATAATAATAATGGTTTGATGTATATATTAAATTATAAAGGACTAAGGAGTATACATATAAAGTGTAGGCAAAAAAAAATAAAATAAAAAAAAAAAAGAAAAAAGAAAAAGAAAAAAGGTGTTGCATACAAGAAACTCGAGAGTGAAATTTATTTGTAACCCATGGAGATATATATTAAATTATCAACCTTATTAAACAAAATCATGTGAATATTTTTACCCAAATTACCCGTTGTTGCCTTGACTGTGCGGGAATCGACTTGGCTAAAAATTGTTGTTGTTAATTTTTATTGAACATATAACCTATATCCGACTATAAACTGATACAGTTTAATCCATAACTAGTTATATTCAAATATGGTGATCCGTTTAATTTGATTTCTTTACAACCCAAAACTATTTCAAACAAACAAAAAATAAAAACTAGAATGAAATAACCTATAGCCATTATACCAGGACCGTTTACAATTTGTAATCCATTTAGCTGGAATCATATATGACTTCAAATCTTTTCAACCTATGAAAACCCAAGTAAATCCATTTTACCAATACCGAATAAACATATCTCTTACATTGTTCCATCAAAATAAATAAGATTGTTTCATTCCAAACAAACTATTAACGAGATATATGAATATATGATTGCAAACACTAATAATTTGAACACAGGTTTGAGCAAAACTTGTTATTAGCGAGTTGTTCTCAAGTGTATAAACTCATTTGCATTCATATCCGATATTATTTACCACCAATTTTATTATGACACAACCAAAGCTAGAATGAGCCAGAGCCTGCTTTAATTTAGCTTAATGTTTCCAACCTAACTCACTTTAGCCAAAATCAAATATGACCTGCCCCAATTATTACAGCTTAACTCATATGAACCCAAACTCATTTTAACTAGAGTGACTATTTCCAACCCACCTTATTTAAATTAGAACCAAATACGAGTCGCTTTGATTAAAACCCACCCCTAACGACCCAACCTAATTTGAAAGCTTATAAAAATTAACCGAATTGAATTGACCTCTAATTTTCAAAACCGACCAAACAAACTCGTTTTAACTCGATTTGTTTTGAACCCAAAATTGTTCAACACGATTCAAAATAGATCCGTCAACCTGAATTGACACTAAAAACATTGCATTATAGGGCTTTTCTTTTCTCATCATCTAAGGTTACATAAAAACTTTGTAAAATCCCTGCTCCACGCAAAGTCCAATCAAAAATATGAAATGTGGTGATGCAATATGTTTAATGTCTTCCGCCATTACTGGCTTTGGTTCGAGCTACCTAGTCTTAGGGACAGGACCCCCCCAGCTTGACACCTGCACATGAGACTATGATAGATATAGAAAAAGAGATTGGTTAATTTGACAAAATAAAATCAGTTGCACTGTTTATAGACAGACTCCATCCTACTCAAGATATGCTTGCTAGCTTAGGGTAGTTGAACATTACAAACCAAATCATACTCAACTTGATATTCTATCACATTACTTGCATCATTTACAGTCAACTTGTCTTCTTGCATGTTTTTACCTCTTTTCTGTGTACATGGTTTTTTTTTTTTTTTTATTATTATAATTTTCAAGTTTTATTTAAGTCAATTGTCGAGTTTTAAATATGTCTAGTTTGAAAAATATCTAAATTGAATTGAATGAATTAATTCGTCAAAAACTCATAAATAAGCACTATGTTACCTTAAATAATTTCCTTATTTAAATCTATACGAACTAATTAACATACAGTTATTTTAATATACTCTGTATATGATTAGAGAGCCAAAATCTAATTTTGATCATAAATTATCAACATATGCAAAACCTAATCGAAGCAAACATTGTTGGAGTGAGCTAAAATAAGTTTCATCAGTTGCCTTGATTACTACTAAACAAGAAGAATCTACTATTTTAAAAACGTCTTCTTCACCTTATTGAATTGAAACTCATTGGATCTGGCTAGACACATACCTTGTATACAACAAGTGAGTAAATGTTTTAAAAATGAATGAATCTTATTGAACATTATCCGAAGCTTTTGAATTAAAATGATTTTAAGGTGAATAGATAGAGAGCACCCCTAATGATTATCTGCAATGAGCTTAATGATTTTACAACTAGGTTTCGATCACCCAAATTCGACTAAAACAAAGATAAGAGTTTGCTCTTTTTCGTAATTCGCGGCCAATTTGTTATACTTTTACCAATTAGATTACTTTGATCCAAAAAATCATTGACAATTATTAGAATTAATTGGACTTGATTGAAACTTAGCTGGACTACGTAGATTAGTTCCGATAATTTGTTGGTGTATAACCTTAACAGATGGGGTGTTACTCCAATGGAAAAAAGGAGATTACTCTTATAAATGTGATTAAACAAGTGGAGTTATTCTTTTAATAGTCAAAACATAAGTAGAAGGGTACTCGAATGAACAAATGAGGTTGCCTTAAAAAAAAATAATAATTGATAGTACTCTTAACAAAATTACCCTTACTAATAATTTTTTTTTTTTTTCCGTATTTAGTTATTATTTTTATAGATAGGTGAAGAAAATATATCCTTGCATTTAGCTGAAAATAGTTGAGTGCACATTTTTCGAATGCATAAAATCTTAGTGTTGTCCTCTTATTTGCTATACTCCACCATCCACTCTCTCAAATTTTAATTATGTTTATAATTGACTGAAAATAATTACATTTTCAATCTATTCCTCTACAAATTGACTTACGTTAACGGAATCGAAGCCAAGTGGATGGGAGGGCCTGGCAAAAATGGCATAGAATTAAAGTACTAGTTGTCTGAAAATATATGGATCAAATTGTTGTTGGTCAATTTAATTGTACGATTGATGTTGTTTTGCTTAGAGCCCGTTTAATTAAGGTCTAATCAATAAGCATCTACTATTAAATTATTAATTAATGAGAATCTTCGAGCTAAATTAATTGAACTTCGTACATTATGATAAAACAGCATTTGAATTGTCTCTAATTTTTAGGGTTTGCATCAAACTAACCATCCAAGTTGGTGAAAAACAATTATCCATCAATCCCATGTTAAATTAATGTTGTTGTTGGGTTTTTTCCCCTTTTTTCCGGAGAAAATGCTAAGAGCAACTCCAATGGTTGGGAAAGGGACTAGCTTGCAAATATTAAAAATCTTAAGCTAGTAGCTATACCATTGTTACACATCTTGTTGATTAGCTTTGGCAAGCAAATTAGCTTTGTGAAGCTAATTAGCTTGATAAATATTTATTAGATAAAAATTATTATTAATTTTAAAATAAATTAATTTACAACTAGCTTAACCATTAGAACAACAAATAGCTAGAATTGTTATAGCTTAAAAAGAAGATGTGTCATGACAAGCTATTAAGTGAATTAGCCAATCATTGTAGTTGCTCTAATGAAAATAACCTTTTTATTTTATCACTTACATCTTGATAATACAATTATCTTTTATTTGATAGAGACTCAATACTAATTACAAATATTTATTTCTCTTTTCCATTAATCTCATTCACATGAAATAAAATGTTCTGCTATGCTTTAATCTTTTTTTGAAACAAATCAATTCTAAAAGCCATACGACATCTACAAATGAAATCTAAATTAACAAATACATAAAATTGAATCAAATTAGAGTTTCCTTCATCAAAGCTACGATCGTTGAATAGATCTTGCACTATGGTACATCTCTCACATACATCGCTGGAATATACAACCTTTTTGGAGAGACGGTCTAATGATTTGTTGTAGCCGTAAGAATGATTTTCACCTGATTCACTTGAACGCATTTGAAAACTGATCTGAATATTGAGAACTTCGAAAGTTTGTTAAATCTTTACAAGGAAAACCTAAACTTGAACATTAACTCATTAGAAGTTACAAATTGGCGGTTCTTGGACGGTTCAAGCAAAGGAACTTGGTGTCTGGTACAAGCTCAAGTTCCGGATCACTTTACTTACTCTAGTTAGTGGTTTTTAATTAGTTTTTTCTTGCAAGTTTTTACCTTTCACTTGAAAGGGTTTTTCTTGATTTAAGCACTTAGGATTAATTTTATTTATTTTAGGAATTATAGACTAAGTAGAATTAGTTACCTAATCTAAGTAGAATTGGAATTAGTTTCCTAATCTATGTAGAATTAGTTTTCCTATTTTATTTGGGTTACTTGGGGCTAAAGGCTAAGGACTTGTCCTATTCCTATTAGACTTAGAATTAGTTAGTTTTTAGTTTATAAATAGTTGTAATTTCATGAATTTTAGATATAGAATTTTTCAGATTAATAAATCAAAGTATTTGTTTGTTTTGCAATCAAAACATTCGTTTCTTGAATTTGGTGATTAGGTTCTTTAAGCTTTGTTCAAGTTGATTAATTAAGGGGTGGTGTGACCTTTAACTTCATTAATCTACTCGTCTTCTTGTTTAATTCTCGGTGGACGAATCCCATAGAGAATTAGGCTTGAATTATCCTTGTGTGTGTTTAAGTTTCTTGAACATACGCAAAAACTTGACAACCATTGCGATCCTGAACAAATCTTTACCAACGAACTTATTATAGGGAAAAACATGATTACCTTTTTGATAAACCCTAACACACAAACAAACCTAAACATAAACAAACAACTAAATTAACAAAAACTAACGACTATACCATAGGAAGACACTCCAGCATAGGGAGACGGACCAGCTATGCTTTAATCTACTTACACCTATGTATATGGAAAGAAAAAAACAAAACAAAAAAAAGCCAAGTGGGATCGTGTTAACTTCTTCTCATTTTATACTTTCCAAACACATACTCCGTAATTTTCATAAGTTTAACAAGCCCTCCTCATAATGTAGAGGAGGGTTGGTGCAAAGCTAGACACAAGGATCACATCATACACAATTAAAGATATTCAACAATAAGTGAAGAAAATTTAAAAGTTATATCTAAATTCATTTGAATATCTATAATCTTGTCTAATAGGTTTAATTCTAACAAAAAATAAATGCTGTAATGATAATTTTCTAAAATAAGTTGAATTGTGATAGAGTATAAAACGATTGAGTTTTTAGTTGAGTTGGTTGAACAAGACATATAACGAAATACCACTATTTAATTTGGTAGGCTTACTTAAGTTTAAGAATTTTGAGTGTAGGGAAGGTTACAAGAATCACACTCTCAAAATTTCCCTAGATATTTTTTGCTACTCTTCCTAGTGATATTTATTCCCTTCTTGAGGTTATGATGGTCATTTTTATGGTGTTATTGTTAATGTCGTATAATTAATAATATTAATAAAATATATTAAATAAAACCATCTTATCATTATAAGACCAACATATACATGAATTGGATTAAAAGAAATAGAAAATGAGACATGTGCAGCAATACACAAAAGTGGTCATATGATGATTAGACGGTGTTACACAAATGTTTTTTGTAAGTATAAAACGTGGAGTGAAAAATTTTTAAATAGCCGCAATTAATTTAGTTGAGGCAATGAAAATACCTCGTAGAAAATAAGGTTGTATGACAAGTACATCTTTGATTGTTGGTTGAAAGATAGCACCAAACTTTGTAACCATCATGGTTATAGACCTTATATGTACAAGTAGTTCATTAAAATGTTTGTTATTGTATTAATGTGAAAAATCTTAAATGTGAGATCACTCTTGGTGATGAGAATCATGAGATGAAAGATGAATTAAGTTTGATCTTCTTACATATTTATGGAAAATGAAATGTAGGGCTTCCATTTTTGAGAAAGTGCATCCTTGAATTAGGGCCTAACCCTATTTAGTGGCCCAATTTATTCTTTAACTTATTCCACATCCGGCCCATGTACGTACACGATGATTGTGCAGCATCCTCCAGCCCTCTACGCCCTAGTGTTTTTCTCTATTGTCATTTAACTACTTAAGTATATTTTTCACTCTTTATTAAAAGTACAGTTCTTAAAACTCCAAGCTAACCTGTGTTCACTCTTTAGTATAGTTTTCACTCAGTATGGAGTATAATATAACGTAATATTCACTCATTAGTTAGAGTAGTAGCTTTAAAACTCCAAGCTATCCTGTTTAAATTTAGCTTCTTCTCAATTTGTATTCAGTAATTCAGTACGTATTCTTAATATCTAACCTATGTTAATCAAACTCTTCATCCCACCTCAACTACATATGTTGGACTCACACCACTTGAACATGGGTGTGAGTGTGTGACACATGGAAACTTAATTTTTAGTTCAAAATTATGGAATTTTTTTCAAAAATAGCCGAATCAAACACTTGGACATGTATCCGTATCGGACAAGGGCACCTAGAGTCCAAGTAACATAGTGTCTACCATTAATCTTTGTAGAAAGTGATCCTCCCTTACATCTATAGCCATTAGAAACTAATCCCACTCGAGAAAAATTGCAATGACCCGATTAGATTTGATCTTGCAATCGATTCTATCTCATGAAATACGAAGCATATTAAACTTCACAAATTCTTATATGTGGCAGACCACATAGTGTGGCCAACCATCATGGAGGTTACTGGGTTAGTGTTATAGGGGTTAATCCGTCACTATTATAAGAGTTACTTTATCGGTGTTATAGGGGTTACTTGGTCAGTATTATAGGAGGTACTCAGTCGGTGTTAGAAGGTTACTTTGTTTTTTTACAAGCAGTCACATTGTGTGGCTAGCCGCACACAAAATGCGTTGATTAAACTTTCATCAATATGTTGTCACATTATGCATCCCCTAAAATGATATGTTAAGTGTGTCAAATGCTATGCGACAGAAACCAATGATTTAGTTTTTGGTGATGAAAACCAATGGTTTAGAGAACCAAGTTAACCCATCCTATCCCATGCTAACTCACAATTTTAGTAATTCAAGCTCACAAATCTGATCATATAAGGCGAGACGCTATCTTTAGATTTTAGATATAGAAAGTTAAGAACAGATTTACAAACTTCTGTTAGATTATGTAAATAATCTATTTATGTATTTATTGTTTTGTAATTATCTTTGGTAGTTATCTTGTGTATAGTTCCCTAATTTAACCTAGAATACTTTTGTATATATTGGTTAATGGTTAAAGTGAAAGGCAAATATTCTCATATTCTCTCATGGTATCACGAGTCTAGGTTACGACCCTAACCTAATTCAATTCGCTCTTCCGCTCTCTTCTTCTTCTCTCTTTTTCTTCCTCCATTTGGCCTCCATCAATTTTCATGGTTGATTCTTCAAAGCTTCATCCAGCTACCCTAGTCACCAACATCAAGACATGTGTTCCTATTGTTCTTGATTATGATGGTTTGCAATACAATAATTGGTCGACTCTTTTTCAACTCCATTGCCACGCTAATATGGTTATTGATCATATTATCCCACAGCCAAACCATCCAAACCTACGGTAGCAAAAAAAGCTTTATGGCAGCGACTTGATGATATTGTTCGTCAATGGATTTATGGGACGATTACCAATGACTTACTAAATTCCTTTATCGATCCGGATGATAAAGCAGTTGATACTTGGAATCGTTTGGAAATTTTTTTCCACAACAACAAGTCGGCTAGGGCATTACAATTGGATGCTCAATTCACAAACACAAAGCTTGAACAATTTGATGGTGTCAAACCTTATTGCACACGTCTCAAAACCCTTGCCGATAGTTTGAAGAATGTAGGAGATAAGGTCTCCGACAATCGAATGGCTTTGCAGCTTTTGAAAGGTCTCTCGGAGGAGTATGAACCCTTTCGAACGTCCGTTCGGCATCTCAATCCTCTTCCTTCCTTTGATGCATTGCGATCCATGCTTGAACTTGAGGAGCAAGGTAATGCAACCGACATTACTAGTGAACCCACCGAGGAGGCTCATCTTTCTCACGCCTCTTCCACGGTTTCACAATCCAATGGCAAAAATTCACAAAATTCTTCACAATCTCGTGGTAGAAATTCTCGCAATGGTGGTTGAAAAAATAAAGGGAAAGGAAGCGGTGGCAAAGGGAAGAGCACCAGCACCGGCGCCACTGGCCGGAACACCTAGTAGCAACCCCGACAGCAGCAACAGTAGTAGTTTGGGCAGGGGTAGATGTTTCCCCTTCCCTGACATTATTAGAGCCCAGGGCGCTGGGCCACACCGCCCTGCCCTTACCCCTCACAGGGCCCAGACCCGTATCAGTGGCAGCCCGCAGCCCAAGGTCAAGAACTCGACATTCTTGGTTCACGACCACCGCAAGCATACTTCATGGGGTCATCTCCCTCGAGTTATGTTCCGACGAATATTAAACAAGCTATGCATACCTTGTCCATGGCCGATTCGAACTACTACATGGACACGGTGCTACGTCACATATGACCAATTCTCAAGGTAATTTATCTTCGTATGTTCATTTGCGCAAAAACATTAATACCTATTATTGTTGGTAATGGTAGCAAAATTTTGATTAAAGGTTATGGTCACGAATCTCACAATCAAAATACACTCCAACTCAAAAATGTTCTTCATGTTCCACAACTTATCAAAAATCTCATTTCTGTTTGAAAATTCACTACTGATAATAGTGTTTCAATTGAGTTTGATCCTTTTGGGTTTTCTGTGAAGGATTTGCAGACGGGGAGCAAAATAGTGAGATGTGATAGCAGTGGTGATCTTATCCATTCTTCTCGGATCGTCAAGTTCTTTCTTATTCATCTCCGTCAGCTTTTGCAATTGTTTCTCCTAGTGTATGGCATTCCCGTTTGGGTCATCCGCGAAATGCAACTTTAGGTTCTTTGCATAGTAGTCAATTAATCAAATGTAATAAGGCTCATATTGATGTTTGTCACTCTTGTTCTTTGGGAAAATTAGTAAAAATGCCTTTTTACGATTCGGAATCTCATACTACTATGCCTTTTAACATAATTCATAGTGGTTTATGGACTTCTCCCGTATCTAGTTCTCTTGGGCACAAATACTATGTTCTTTTCCTTGATGATTACACAAACTACTCGTGGAATTTTCCAATTGCCTCTAAGTCTCAAGTTTATAACTTGTTTCTTCGAATTAGAACCTATATTCGTACCCAATTTGAACGGGAGGTGAAAGCTTTCCAATGTGATAATGGAACCGAGTTTAAAAACGACCCTTTTCTTAAATTTGGTCACCAACATGGGATGGTTTTTATCATATCTTGTCCTTACTCTTCTCCTCAAAATGGCAAATCCGAACGTGAAATTAAGACCATTAATAATATCGTTCGAACTCTTCTTTGTCATGCCTCTATGCCTCCCTCCTTTTGGCATCATGCTTTAGAAATGGCTACCTATCTTCATAACATCTTACCGACAAAAATCCTTGATTATAAGTCTCCTACTCAAATTTTATATCAAAAACATCCTGACTATTCTTATCTTAGGGTGTTTGGTTGTCTATGTTATCCTCTTTCACCTTCTACCAAGGTTAACAAACTTCAACCGCGTTCTACACCTTCCGTATTTCTAGGTTAATTATCCAAGCAATCATAGAGGTTATAAGTGTTATGATATTTCGAGTCGACAAATAATCATTGCAAGACATGTATAGTTTGATGAGTCGGTTTTCCCATTTTCTAAAATTCATTCTCCTCAATCTCATTTTTATGATTTTTTAGGAGATAGTCTGAGTCCTCTCGACAATCCGTTACTTCGTCATATTCATGCTACTAGCCTCAAACCTCCCTCCAATAGCCCGCACCAAGTAGACCGGTCAGACCCCACGAGCGCCCAACAGCGTGTGGCTTTACAGCCCCTACTATCCCCGCCAAGTCAACCGCGGGCGCTAGTGTGGGTGCTGATCGAGCTGCTAGTGCTAGCTCTCTAAGCACACTCCGCAACCCGGTTGCGACATTCACTCACCAGCCCACAGCCAAGGGCCTGCGCCCGCAGCTGAAGCCACGCAGCTATTGCCTGGCCGCGGGTTATTCCCTGCGTCCGCAGTCAAGTCAAGGCAGCAGCTACAGCCTCCTTCCTCTGTCGCAGGGCAGCCCCCTCACTTCCCTCTTTATTCCTCTCATCCCTCCAACCCTACATCATCTCATCCTATGGCTAGCTACTAGAAGTAAACATGGGATAGTCAAGCCGAATCCCAAATACAAAGACCGAGCCCTTCACACTACTTCCTCTATATCACCTATTCCAAAGAACCCGATTCACGCCATTCATGACTATAATTGGAAAATTGCTATGCAGGAAGAATATGATGCGCTTATTGAGAATGGTACGTGGGACTTAGTTCCTAGACCGCCTAATGTCAATATTACCCGATCTTTGTGGATTTTTCGGCATAAGACAAAGTCTAATGGCTCGTTTGAGAGACATAAGGTGCGTCTTGTTGGTGATGGTAAAACTCAGAGGGAGCGGATTGATTGCGATGAGACTTTTAGTCCGACTGTTACACCGGCTACTATTCGGGTGGTTCTTAGCATTGCTTTATCCAAGTCTTGGCCAATTCATCAATTGGATGTTAAAAATGCTTTCTTACATGGTAATTTAAATGAAACTATGTACATGCATCAACCTATGGGTAGGGATGGCAATATTAGATTAATATCCGCTAATCCGATCCACCCGCTTAAGATAAATGGACGAAAACCCGAAATAAATGGATGAAAAGCGGGTGACGGATGAAGTGGATGATGGATCGGATCAGATGTGGGTAATGATTTTTTCACCCGCTAACCATCAACCCACCCGTTTAACATATATAAAGATTTTTAATCTAAGAATTTTAATTAACAAAATTAAAATATAAAATAAAAATACTTTGTTTGTTGCAAATTAATTTTTTCAAAGAATATGTAGTTAGTGTTTCCTTTTTATTTAAAAAATAATAATAACTTACGGTAGAAATAACCATAAATTAAATTTTATGCGAAATTTTTTCCATAAAATGTTCATCCATTAGTCACTCGATCCACCAGTTTCATCCGCGGATGATGGATGGACGGATATGGATGATGGGTGAAGCGGGTGATGGATTAATGTGGATGATGGGATTGGAATGATGGATGAATGCGGTTGAAGCTCCACTCGATCCGAATCTGATCCATTGCCATCTCTACCTATGGGGTTCAAGGATCCAGCTAGACCTGATCATGTCTGTTTGTTACGAAAGTCACTGTATGGTCTGAAACAGGCACCCAGAGCTTGGTACCAATGGTTTGCAGATTTTGTGGCTACTATCGGCTTTGTTCATAGCGAATCTGATAACTCACTATTCATTTATCAGCATGGTAATGCTACTGCCTATATTCTTCTCTATGTTGTTGACATTGTGCTTACAGCTTCTTCGGAGTCTCTCCGACGACATGTTATTTCACAGCTTAGCTCTAAATTTGCAATGAAAGATTTGGGTAAAAGCTATTTTTTGGGTATTGCTGTTACTAGAGATAAAAATGGTTTATTTTTGTCTCAAAAGAAGTATGCATAGGAAATATTGGAAAAAGCAGGAATGGCGAACTGTAAGCCTTCGACTACTCCTATTGACTCCAAAGGCAAATTGAGCACTCAAGCGGGTGCCTTGTATGATGATCCTACTTCTTACCGGCGCCTATGTGGTGCTTTGCAATACTTAACTTTCATTCGGCCGGATATCTATTATGCGGTTCAGCAGGTTTGCTTATTTATCCACTCGCCACGAGTTGAGCACATGGATGCGTTGAAACGCATTCTACAATATATCCAAGGTACGACAGAATTTGGATTATATTTATATAAGTCATCTGTTTCTTCTATTATGTCATACACGGATGTCGATTGGGGCGGGTGTCTAGACACTCGTCGTTCTACATCAGGGTACTATGTCTTCCTTGGTGATAATTTGATCTCTTGGTCTTCAAAACGCCAACCCACTTTGTTTAAGTCCAGTGCCGAAGCAAAGTACAGAGGGGTTGAAAATGTTGTTTCTGAATCCTGCTGGGTTCGAAATTTGTTGCTCGAGCTTCATTGTCCTATTTCGAAAGCAACATTGGTTTATTACGACAATGTTAGTGCCATTTATCTCTCTAGTAATCCGGTTCAACATCAGCGCACTAAACATATTGAGATGGACATACACTTTGTTTGTGAGAAAGTTTAACGGGGCGAAGTTCGTGTCCTACATGTGCCATCCCGATACCAGATTGCAGAAATTTTTACTAAAGGTCTGCCTAAAGTTTTATTTGATGATTTTCGGGACAGTCTCCGTGTTTGTCAGCCTCCCGTTTTGACTGCGGGGGTGTGTTAGATTATGTAAATAATCTATTTATGTATTTATTGTTTTGTAATTATCTTTGGTAATTATTCTGTGTATAGCTCCCTAATTTAAGCTAGAATACTTTTATATATATTGGTTAATGGTTAATGAGAAAGACATGACAAATATTCTCATATTCTCTCAACTTCAAATACATGCCAAAGACTATATTTTAGCGATAATGAAAACTACAATATTATCTTCCTAAAAATTTCTATTACATGATTAATAAAATGCCAAAACAGTTAAACTAGATGAAGGAAAAATCAATATACTATATGACATTGAGGCAACATTTACTTTTTTTCTCAACTTTTTTTTTTCTTGGTTGTGAGGCAGCTTTCTTTTGTGTTAATGCTCAAAGGTGGAATTTAAAACAAACTAACTAATTAGCCGAAGCAATGTTCAAAGCTGTGAATGTACTCAATAATACAAGTGGCCAAAGGAATGTTCAACTTAAACCTGTGAACTCAATAAGTGGCCGAAGCAAGTATGCAGAATCAGGATTATCCCACTCAAGAATCTCCCACCACTCTTTTTCAACCACAATTTTTCTAAGTGATAAAGGAGCATCATATGGCTGTCCATCGTCAAGGAGTGGTAAAGAGAGAGGGAGTTTTTCGAGCAAAGGACACTGAATTATTGTTATATCCTCAATGTGATCATAGCCCAAAAGCCTCTTCAAACATATAGTAACCAAATTGGGAAGATAAATTAGTTGT